AGCCCCTAAGCCCCGTTAACATCTGTACTGAATACAGATGTTTCCCTTGCCATTAATCTTTGAGCTGTAGAGTGTAATGGGATTTGTGGACCACTTACACTGTGCTGGGCAATAGACCCGAGGTAGGACTGGAGTTTACTGAAGGGCATGTGTGGGTTCTATGCAAATGTGCCATTCTGTATAAGGGACTTGAGCATGGCCTAGATTTGGGGCTCAGGGCAGGCACCTAGAACCCTTAGCCCTCTGATTCCAAAGGATGACTGTATTTTCATGGTGGCTCTGCCACATTAAAAAAAAAAAAGGTTTATTTTGTGTGTGTGTGTGTGTGTGTGTGTGTGTGTGTGTGTATGTGTGTGTGGAGGGGGTGTCTTTGGAGGCCAGCTGGAGTTACAGGCAGTTCTGAGCAGCCCAATGGGAGTGTGGGGGAACTGAACTCACATCCTCTGGAAGAGCAGCAAGTGCTTTTAGCAACTGAGCCGTCCCTCCAGCCCCAGGGCTACCACTTTCTAACTTGGCTGTGTGACCTTGGACAAGTGAGCTCACCTCTCTGAGCCTTGGCTTGTTCATCTGTAATTTGGGACTTGAAACCTTGACTCAGCCAGTAGTTGAGGTGCTCTTAGGCTGTGGGCAGAGCCTTTCATTAACTCTCAGACACTCGCCCGCAAGAGATGAGCTGTGGTATACGTGTGGCATGGGGCTGGGTGTTGACTGTGAGCCCTGGTTCTGACCCTGCCTGCCCCTTGTCTAACCTCTAGGGTTTGGGTTTGTCACGTTCGAGAGTGAGGACATCGTAGAGAAAGTGTGTGAGATCCACTTCCACGAAATCAACAACAAAATGGTGAGCTGGGACTAGATGGAGGTCGGGGATCGGAGGCTGGGACTCCAGGATGAGGCAGTCAGGGAAGCGCTGGGGTTCTGAAAATGGGCAGGGGTGGGGCTCTCCCCGAAATCAGCAGAGCCTGTTCTCCTACACCCTTGAGGACGCAGTGTCACAGGGTGGTCCTTCTCAGAGCCCAAGTTTTTTTTTTTTTTTTTTTTTTTTTTTTTTTGTGACAGGGTTTTTCTGTGTAACTTGAGAGCCTTTTCCTGGCCTCGAACTCACAGAGATCCGCCTGGCTCTGCCTCCCTAGTGCTGGGATTAAAGGCGTGTGCGGCCACCACCGCCTGGCCGAGCCCAAGTTTTCATAAGATAGGAACCCCAGCTTCATGGGATGGCACACATCTGTAATCGCAACTTTCTGGAGAAGGGCGAAAAGATGGTCACGAGTTCAAGGCCAGCCTGGTCTACATAGCAAGTTGCAAGCTAGCCAGAGCTCCACAATTAGACCCTGCCTCAAAATCAATCAATCAATCAATCAATCAATCAATCAATCAATTTAATCGAAACTGAAAGTAAATCGAATCACAGTACGCGTTCACCGTACGTTTGGTGTGAACATTCAGTGAGTGAACTAGCGGGTGTAAAGCCCTTCAGATGCTGTGAGCGCTTCTTCGTAAGCAATCATTGAAATGGTGACAATGAGACCTGCCGTAGCACGGGAAACTCTGACCCTCCGGTTTCATCGCAGGTGGAGTGCAAGAAAGCCCAGCCAAAGGAGGTGATGTCCCCGACGGGCTCGGCCCGGGGCCGGTCTCGAGTCATGCCCTACGGAATGGACGCCTTCATGCTGGGCATCGGCATGCTGGGTACGTGCCTGGCCCTATGCCTGTGGCTTCTTCCTGCCTAGAACCCCTCCTGGGGCTGGGGGGGGCGCGGGGGGAGCTGTGTGGGTGGGACTTCTCTTCTGTGGTCTGCCCTCCTGCCTGAAGTCCAAGCTGTGCTTCAGATCCGGTGTGCCGGCCCAAGGTGGGCAGTTTGGTGTGGAGCACTGCCCTCTTGTGGTGGCTCCAGTGTAGTCCAGCCGCTCCGTATTCTTTGGTCCCCTGCCGGTTCACCCCTGCTCTAACCCATCAGGGTTTCCGTTTCCATCCCGCATTGAGCGCCTATCCGTGCCATGCCCTCTGCCGGGAAGCCCGGCAGTGACCTCCCTGAGATTTGTGGTCTGTCAGGGAAAACAAGAAAAGACGGACAAATTTAGGGCGAAGTGTAGGATACCAGGAGAGTGTGGTCATAGGGAACTGGACCAAGGCTCTGGAGAACCAGGAGCTGTGTTCGAGTTATGCTGAGTCTGCAGGGTGAGTGGGTGCCAGCTGTGGGAGGTCAGGAAGAGGAAGGGAAGGGTGAGCCGGACACAGGGAGCAGCATCATAGAGGCCCCAAGGCGAGAAGTCTGCTCTTCCTACTCAGCTGATGTTTATAGTGCTTTTTGAGAGGCAGGAACAGCTCTCAGGGCTGTGATTCAAGTGAGAAATAGGAGTCTCTCCATAGAGTGACCGGAGGCCTTGGGAGGCTCAAGAAGGCACCCACAGAGCCCTGGGTGTCAGGGAGGCTCCCCGGAGCAGGTGACGGAAGTGGCCGTGAGCCCTGACAATCAGACAGGACTCAGCTGCACCTTGAAGAGCACCCAAGAAGCCGGGTAGTAGTGGCTCACACTTTTAATCCCAGCACTCAGAAGGCAGAGGCAGGCGGATCTCTGAGTCCGAGGCCAGCCTGGTCTGCAAAGTGAGTTCTAGGACAGCCAGGGCTACACAGAGAAACTCTGTCTCAAAAAACCAAAAAGAGAAAAGAAAAGCACCCAAGCGACTAGGGGAGATGGCTCAGTGGTTAGAGCACTGGCTGCTCTTCTGGAGGACCCAGGTTCAATTCCCAGCATCCACATGGCAGCTCACACCTGTCTGTAACTCCAGTTCTAGAGGATCTGACGCCCTCTTCTGGCGTCCACAGCATTGCATACATGTGATGCAGGACACATATGCAATCAAAACACTCATACACGTAAGAGAAAAACAACATTTGCAAAATACATACATATACATATATATTGGTTTTTGCGAGTCAGGGTTTCTCTGTTGTTTTGGTTCCTGTCCTGGATCTCGCTCTGTAGACCAGGCTGGCCTCGAACTCACAGAGATCCGCCTGCCTCTGCCTCCCAAGTGCTGGGATTAAAGGC